TACTGAAGCGTCGCTCAGGTGCGCAGCGAAATCCACAGGGTCGGAGTGGAAGTGACAGGCAGTATCCACAGGGCAGTTCTTCCTTCCCTGTGGGTCCAGTGGCATGTGTCCTCTATGGGTTGGTCGCTTGTAAATGTCGGCTTATATGACTGGTGTAAGAGTTCATAGCTAAACCATCTTCGTGCACTTGGTTTTTCTTCTATTCACTACATAAACTACTTGTTATGTCTGAGGGAGATGTAAGAGATTCATTTCCCAAGTAGGGGAAGCTATGATATAGCCATCTCAGTGTGTGGTCCGCAGAGGAAAGGGCGTCCTGAGGAGACCTTTGGAAGCGGAGTCAGAGGCCGGGCCAAAGCAGCGTCCTTGAAAGGGGTCCCTCGAGTCTTCTGGATGCCCGACTGAGTCGTCATTCAATACATTTATGGTTGGGATGAATTGCAGGAAGAATTACTTCAGGGATTTTATCTTGAGTTTTTTCTTCATCCCCAGTTTGATGGCGAATGAAGGAAACTGTAAGGCAGGTAGTTTGTGGATAAACAACGTAGACGAACACGACTGCTCCCCGCCCGTCTCAGTCACAAAGACATACTTAAGTGTCAGAATCATGGCTGATGTAAAGGGATATTTCTTAAACAGTGAAATTTCGTAATTTATCTGCAGATCTTCCGGTGCCCTTTATCCTGAGAGTAATCGAGAGGAGAGGAAAGAAACAAGACAGAGAGACATAGAGACAGACGGAAACACACACACAAAAAAAACATGGACCAGGGTGTGGCATTACTTATCGTGGTCACGCCGAAGCAGATAAATTAGATAAATGATTTGATGAAGTGAGAAATTATAGCAAAACAGAAAAAGGAAATTAAAGCGAGAAAATGTTCGGTAATAAGTACACCGACTGGGATCAAATGCGCGAACAACAGACAGTCAAGTTCTGAAAATAGCTTGGTACTTCTACTCGATGCCAATTAAAGTCATGTGTCCCTATTTCAAAATGCGACGAATTGCGCGCGAAAAGGAAAATACAAATTCAAGTTCCCACAGTGGAACTCTTGGGGAAAATATGAGTTATGTGAAAGTTATGCGCATGCATGTTTGCTTAAGGCTATTGAGTTACACAGAGAAATAGTGGTAAAGGGTGGATTCAAGGAGAAGGAGGGGAAGGGAGGAGAGAGAGGAGAGAGAGAGACGGAGTGGAGAGAATAAGGTTAAGGTTAACCTCACCTGGCTTTTACCTGAGGAAGTCCTCTGTGCGAGGTCCTGTCGCCTCCTACGGCTGCCCTCGCCACTCCATGGCCTCAGTTTACGTCACGACACCGAAGTGTATGGACGTGTATAGTGTCCTCTCGTGACCTTGTGGCCTGTCCTGAAAGGATCAGTGTTACCTTGACAATGTCAGTTGTATACTGATCCTTTGCTGGACAATGCTCACATAATCATAAGTACGAAAGTGATACAAAGAATTAACAATACAATTTAAAGTGAAAGATCCTACGCACACTCCCAGATGTGCTGTGAGGCACCGAAGGCGACCCGTGCGTGTTGTTTATTTTCGAAGGACGGGCACTCAGGTCAGCCCCCGCGTGGTCGGGGAGTGACCGCGCCCACTGTTAGGAAGGCCACAACCCAACGCGTGGAGACAGAGGGAGATACGATAGCCTCAGTGAGGAGGATATTGGTAGGCCCACTGAAAGAACGAGGAAAAACAGAGGCAGTTAACTGCTTCAGTGGAGGTCACGCCCCCAGGACACCTGTGTGCGCACTTCGGACCGGACACAAAACTTCATATGCACAGCGATAAATACCGATGGGTCTCAGACATAAAAAATTATCCTTACAATAAAACACACGGATCAGTAGAGCTAAAGATAGGGAGAAATAATGTATATGTAAGATGCAAGAACGAACAAATTCTTGCCCATATTACAACGACGTGCAAATGGTGAAGTGCTGGAAAAGCAAAAGTTTTCGGGAAAGGAAAATGTACGAATGCCATTGTGTTCGATGTTCTAAAGGAAATTGAAACATTGAATGACAACATACAACGAACGTGTCATTCATGAAAGACGCGTGAAAGCTAACGGAGCGATGACCCAGAGATCATCATAACGTACGCGGGGGCGGTGGTCCCCAAAGCTATTAAAATGGCTGAGGGCGTGGCGCCTTTTAGGTGAGCCATCTACAAATTCCTGTCCGCATTTTGTTCTAATTGCTCAAAGTGGGGACATGAAGCACGTGCATGTCCACGAGACGCACCACAGTGCCGACACTGCGCTCTTTCTCATGAAAGTTCAGAGAAAACATTTCCGAAGGTAGAAATGTTCCTCGGAAATGCGTGAAATGCCGACAAGAGCATAATGCTGATTCTCCACTGTGCGCATATTATCCAAAGGATAGGAAGGTAAACAGTCAAAAACGGAGGCAGCCTGAAGAAGTCCCCCCAGAAGAAGTCCATCCCAGCCCCGCGCCTTTGAGTAATGTGGGGGAATTCCACACCTGCAGAGGTCAATAGTGATGGCTCCCAATGCAAGGACATGGACACAGCATCAGCACCAACAGGAGCAACAGCCCCATCAACTCAAGCGCCACTACCAGCTTCAGCACCAGCTGCTGCTCCAATCCGTGCACCAGCTTCTGCACCAGTTCCAGCTCCAGCCGAAGCTCAGCTCTCACTGCAGCAGGACAGACAAGAGACCAACAGAGAAATAAAGGACATGCTGCTTCGGCAGATGAAGCAGAGAATGTTTCTGATACAACAACAGATGGCTCAGCAATCCCAGTCCCAGGAGAGGTTGTTCTCGCTCCTCCTCAATCAACGACAGCACCAACCTGTAGTGGGCCTTGGGGACGGTCAGGCATCAAAATAATCTCTTGAAATGTATTGCACTCATTGATTATATGAATCTCTATTTAGAACGTATGCGGTCTTGTTCTTTGTGACCATGATTAGTGTTTATATCTATCTAGTTAGTATATTAGATTGTATGAATATTTATATATATTATTATATAGATATATTATTTATTATATTACATTGTAATATACTATACTATATATACTTGACTTATAGTAAATGTGAGATATATATATAGATAGATATATATGAGTGAATATATATATGATATACTTTTAGTATATTATATAGTAGATATATATATATATACTATAGCATTATATATATGATGATATGATAGTATATAGATATACTTGTAGATATATATTAATATAATATATATATATAATGTATATACATGATGAGTATATATATATAGCATATACTTTATGAATGACGAAGATAATATATATATTATATGATATATAGTATCAGATATTATACGTATTATATGATAATATATTATAGATATTATGATATACTGAGATATTATATATACTTGGAGAGTATATATAATAGTATCATTATATGATAGATGATATATATATATTAGAGAGATAATATTTACTTGTATAATAGTATAGTATGGATGATAGAAGATATGATAATTATGAGATAGTATAGTATATTGGCTAAAGAGTATGAATGAATATCATTATATATATATTTATACTATATATTAATATTATATACTATATATTTATTATATTATATATTATATGTTGAGATATATATATATATTATATAATATTAATAATATATATTATATAGTAATGTAGAATATATTATATATATGATAGAATACTTAGATATATAGATAATATTAATGATATCAGGATATATATAGGATAAGTAGTATAATATTAGGAGAGTGAGAGAGTAACATTATATACATAGGTGATAGACGGAGACGGATGAGATATATATAATGTATAAACTTTAGATAGATTACTTTGTATTTATATAGGTGTAGCGATATTTGTTTACCATCTAGATTGATATTACTAATATTGCAATGGCGATGGACGCCCTTTCAAGGCATTGTCGGAAAGTATAGATGCTTTTGTATCTAACCCTGGCTTTTTGCAGAGCACGTACACTGTTCCGTAAGTACGTGTTATCAAATGCAAATCAAAATTCAGCCCGTGCCTGGCCTTGGCGTGGCCCAGCACCGCCCATCCGCCCTCGCCCTCCTCCCCGGTGGCTCAGCCCGCCGACCGCCCTCGGGGAAGACGTTCGCTTCGAGCCTGACGACGTCCATGGGAGGCGACGGTGCCCCGCGAACTTTAAGGACATTGGATTTTTTTTCTGGTTAAAAAATAAGGATAAACAAAAATGAATAAGTGGAGGCATTTCTGACCTGTTCCACAACTGTGAACCTGCATTAGAATTCGTAGAGTTTGTAGGTAAACAAACTTGAAATGGAGATCTGGAGGAGGTGTAAGAGAAGCAGTCGGAGCAGCTGTAGTTGTACCGGTTGTTGCGTAGTAAACAACAGCAACAACGGCTGTTATTGGGACTACTGCCGACTAACCAACCCCGCTGCTCCTACTACTGCGTCTGCTGCAGCTACTGCTACTTCTACTCGTCCTCCTACTATTACTACTACTTATATGATGCAGCTACTGATAATGATAACCATGGCGGCAATGATAATAGCTGCACCAACACGGAAAGTCGTAGAAGAGGAAAGAAGCGACACCAATCGAACGCGAAGAGGCAGCCATTTGTCTACAACTGAAGGAAAAGCGGCCAAGCGTCCTGCGTCCTGCGTGAGCGCCTCTCGAAACTCTTTAATTTTTTTCCAGCGAGGCTTCGGCAGA